TTCCACGCAAATCTTGCAATGATCGATGAAGAGCCTCGAGTGATTCTTTGTGCGCCATTATGCATTCATCCCAAACAATAAGTCTGCATTTCTGCAATACCCTTCCCATACCTGATGCTTTGGAAATGCTGCACGTGGGAGTTTCAACGAATTGCATGTTCAATGGCAATTTCAAAGCGGAATGAGCAGTTCTTCCACCTGGTAGCAATGTCACAGCTATTTGGGATCGAATTACTGTGAGAATCAATCTAATTAGGAATGTTTTACCAGTTCCTCCTGGTGCATCTAAGAAGAAGATTCCTGCAACCCCGTTAATGACAGTTTGCATTATTTGATCGTATGTGCCTTCTTGCTCAAGCGTTAGCTTAGGAATATTTGATTGCACATATGACAAAAGATCACCTGTGTTGTAATTTTGTTCACGACGCAATTCTACATTGAACGAAGCACCAGCAGATCGATTCGGTGATGGCATTCCCAATTGATTGAGAACTTTGTTCGTGATTTCTAAGCACAAATCTTCTATCATTATCAACGCTTCGTTGTAGATTTCTGCTGTGAAATCCATGTTCATATTGGAATTTTCCTTCATGCAAATCCTTATCGACGTCGGCATTGGGTATTTCAGAGCATATTACATCGTCAATTTCATTTGAAGTGATTTTGTTATAGAACCAGATTAGTAAATGTGCGTGTGGCAATCCTCTTTTTTGCCATTCCACTGAGTACATCCAATAGCTCACAGACCCAAACGCTTCATGTTTTACCATGAAATCCATCAGCGATTTCAGCTTGTCTGAAAACACGTGCTGTGATGTCATGCCTATCCACCGGCAATTGCCCAGGAAGTAAGACCTGTTGTATATCGTCCCAAGCTGGATTGCATGTGAATGTAATGAATAGGTCTGGATGCCTGTAGTGACGAACATACGCAATTGCATCTTGAGCGTACTCATGCAAATGACGTTGACTGCCCGTACATGAAGATGGCAAAATGGTTAGTCTTCCAACATTAGTTGTATTACCGTCATTTACAACTGCATCTCGCAATACCAGACTAACTTCTTCGGCGGTTAATTTCAGACTGCCTCCTTTGGCAGTTAATTTCAGACTGACTGCTCCTTGTCAAAGCTGGGCTATTTATACCTCAGCGGTTGCTATACAATGCCTTCTGTTGTCTATCACCGGGGAAACGCTGCTTTGTTGATTCCGCGATTCCTACGCAATGACCCATTGTTATTGCATTGTATCTGTGGGAACGCTCCGTGTATTCGTCGTAACCATGGAGATTCGATGTTCTTGACACAACGGCTCACTGTTGGGATTACAGTATTGCTATTGTTACTTCCGAGGCAACGGCCAACTGTTGGGACTACAATACCGCTATTGTCGCTACCTATGCAACGGTCTGTTCTAGCGTTACTATGCAAGTGACTCCTGGATTCCGAACATGTGACATGTTTTTACCTGTCACAGGTGTGACATCTATATAATAGGTATATAAAAACACGCGCGTATTCGAATGCAACGTTGCGTCAAAATTTCAAAGCAATCGATGAAGAACTTTTGGGGATTTAAGACTTTGAACAAACGAACATTTACATTTTTATTTATATAGATGTTGGTATCACTGAGCTGATATTCTTTTTTAAGACTGCAAGCATAAAGCTTTGTGCAAAGTTCTATGACTTTTGCTTCCTCTCTGCTTTGTTTCTGTATGCTATCCACAATGTGAAATAAGAAAGAAGATTTACATTGTGGCCTTACAGGTTATGACCATGTGTAGTCATGCAGGTGGTTACAAGGACTGTAGGTGAGCCTGAGCAGTCCAGGGTGGTGCCCTGATGCTTTCTGAGTGCTGGGGTGCAGTCTTACCACTTCTTTGAACTCTTTTGCCCCATAATATCTGTTGGGGCAAAATGTCTTCACTGTACAAATAAATGTGAAAATAAAAAACCTTATTTTAAATTCATTGCTTTTAGATTATTATATTCACCCTCAAATTCAGAACCAGTAAACAAAAGGTTACTTACATTGTCTTCTGCAAATTGCTTGCATCCGAAAGAGGCCATATTTGTTTACAAAATTTACCACCTGACAGTGCTACTTACATGGTACAAAATGAAAGAAAGCTATATTTTGTTACACATCTAGGGAAAATTACAATTAATTTTAGGGATAGTACCTACATATGGTCAACATATGCCCTACCCTTCCTTGATACATATCTCAGCACAAATGTGAGAGCCACAGAGTCACAAAGTTGAAGTTGCTGTAATGAGAGTTCTGCAGAAACTGGCTGCCATACACCTTGCACTTTTGCAAGCTCCACAGAAAAACAGTTAAAGACACTGATATGAAACACTAAGCTCCTACAGTCTGTCTAATTTACAACCTCTGATACTGAAATGTATGTGTGTTTCAAGAGCTTTCTATATTTCAGTTCTGAATTTAAAAGTGCAAACCTGTCATTACATAATGAGAATACCTCATACTGTGGCATGTCTGCTGAAAGCCAGAATAGTTTAATCAGAAGAGACATTTGTTGCTAGGTTATGGCACAGTAAACGGTGACAGAACAATGGAATACATCACCCCACATAACATAAACAACAGTACCACTGGGTTTGTGCTAATAGTGATGTTGTGCAACAATAGAAGAACTGTTCCATGCAGTGTTCTCTGTTGGGTCTATCCCAAGGCTATATCATGAGTGCCATCAGGACAAGTCAGTCAAGAGTCCAGAGAAATTGAAAGTAGTGAGTCTGTGGTTAGCAGTTGGGAGAGAGACCCATCAGAGGCCAGAAGATGGTTGCCCCTAGTAGAGGACTGGGAGATGGAGGAACCCCTGTTGTTGTAAGCTGCTGCATAGCAATGCTGACTTAGCTGTGAGAGAGTTGCTGGCCAGTAAGGATGTGAACATGGAAGCTGAGGAAGCTATGCTGTTGGAAGCTGTTACCAGACTACAACCAGTGAAGGCTTAGTGTGTGCTGTAGTGAACAGTAAAGTGTGTGAATTAGTGAAATGGTTATAATTACTTGTAATCACAAACTGTAAGAATCCAGTAAATCCAATTACTAATCCAAACCTTGTCTATAGTCACTTGATCATGTGACAGTATCATAATTTACAACCATCTCTTTCGACCTGGAACAGTGTGCAAGATGACCATGGCACTACTAATTTCATGACTACACCCTGGTGGAAACCAGTATTTTGAAACAGGGCAGAAGTGAACAAAGTGCAACTACCAACAGGTGACACAGTGTCATAGTTTGGAAGGCCACAATCTATGTTCACTGTTATGAAAACTTCACAACTCATAAGGAAGGAATGTTGCTACTGTGAAAGCTAAGTATGATACACTGATAAATTCATAAACTTCAACGTTTTGATTTCATTACTAAAATTGAAAACTTTCACTTTGTTATACAGGTCTACCAAAAAGAATGCCACGTTTACAGGCACCTGTACTTTACGAATGAAAACAGATATAAGGATTTGGTTTGCAGTATTTTATTCACTGATTGAAACAGTCTTTCTAAACACACGTGGAAAAGTTGTTAGTTGCAAAACACTTCATGATGAGCACCATCTGTTATTCTGCATACATCTCACCTATAAACCACCTCTTGTCAGACATGCTGTAACACATCCTTTATAACATCTGCAATTGCTTCAATGACCCATGCTTTAAGTTCATCCAGCATATTTACTCCTTGGCTGTAAACCTGGCCTTTCAAATGGCCCCAAAGAAAAAGCCCAAAAGCACAAGAGGGGTAGAATAAGGGGGCCATGCAACTGGCTCTTCTCTTCCTATCCACCCACCAGGGAAATTCAGTCACAGAGTTAGCTAAATGAACAGGTGTACCATCCAGTTAAAGAATAGGATTGCTTTGTACAGGTATGGAAGAGAATAACATTCCAACCTCTCTACAAATGAACTGCCTATAGTCACATTTTCATCAAAGAAAAAGAGGCTGATGGCTCTTTCATATGTCAGTGCACAACACACATTTACTTTAAGACTATCCTGTTCATGTCCTAAACGTTCCCCAGGAGGCTCACTCTTACATACAATATATGGCTTAAGAAATTCTTGTGTTTCAAAACTTTTGTGCACATATGTGCTACATACTGTGATCTATGCCATCTCTCATATGCTGTACAAATCTGGATTCCCTGTACTTTGTACAGTTTTAAATACAGGTTCTTCCGAAGTATTCTGTGGACAGTCACTTGTGCCATCTGTAAATCTGTACTTGCTTAGGAGATTAACTTCTTCAGACTCTGCATGAAAACCTGCCTAACATGATTCACATCTTTATCAGCTCTCCCAGGTCGCCCAGCAGAATGCCATTTCTCCACAGTGCCAGTCTCCCCTAATTGCTCTTGTCATCAGGTCATTTCATGTCATATCTAAATTCATGGTGTATTCAAGCAATGGATCCAAATTTTATGTACCGCAACACAGACTGTGCTTTCTACTGTACAGCCGACATTATACTGATTGTGTAGAACACATAATCAAAGCTGTTAACCACAGCTGAGATGTGCAAGTTGCACAGTGGAAATGTTTGAATTTACAATTACAATTTTTGGATGTGCATGTGCAACTTGTGTCAGCAGAAATGTCTAAATTTATAATTATAATTTTGGATGTGCATGTGCAACTTGTGTCAGTGGAACTGTTCGAATTTACAATTACAGTTTCTGAATGTGCATGTGCAACTTGTGTCAGTAGAAATGTTTAGATTTATAATTACAATTTTGGATGTGCATGTGCAACTTGTGTCAGCAAAATCCTACTGTTCCTTTTGGTGTCAGTCTATCTGTTCAAAAAATGAAATGAACTCAATTTTGTAATAAGAAAATGTGGGAACTGGCTGAGAAAGAAAAAAATGCCTTATAAAGTTTAACATGTTGTTACTCCAACATCAGTTTTGTAAACATTTCACTCTTTTCAAATGTCAAAAAACAGGAAACTAAAGTAAACTTACCAAACAGTCTGAGAAGATGTATGGCTCCATAGATTTTGCTCATTGACATGTCAGGATGTGTCTGAAGAATCTGAAAATTCCACAAAAATATCATTACAAGAGGAATCAGAAGCACAGTTTGTTTTACACAAACTCTCACAGAAATAAAACAGAACATGCAGTAAAATAGCTGTAAATACAATAAAATGATACTGATGCTGCTTGAGATTATGATAATGCAGTGTACCCACAGCATACAGCACCTGCTGGATGCTATTCTGCTGGTAGAAGACCCTGCCATCAGTTTTCTCTCTGTCATTAGCTGCCATTTTCTTGAAAAATATTTATTTAGAATAGCCTCTTGATATCTGTATTTCTTCAAATACTGGATCTTATGACTGGATTGTGAGTGCATGAAGCAGAGCACCTAGTCCATACATAGTTCATTTTGATTCACAAAATAAAAGGAAATTATATAAATATATGTTTACAAAAAAAAAAAAATTATACTCTGAAATTGTGTGTCCAGAAAGTTTCTGAACTCTGTCTATAAATCAGCAGCAAATCAATCATGTTATGTGCTGTTTTAGTGACTTTGTGACCTCACCATTAGCTACACAAGCCATTTTGTTCCAAGTAGCTCATATGTTCTGTTTAGTTTTCATAACTGGTTTTGTGGCTGAGAGTGATGTCTTGTTATGTTTCATATGGAATTGGTAGAAGACCAAAGAATTTGTGTTAAATTCTGTTTCAAATGGGGAAAACAGCTTACGTTGTGTGAAGCTTACAGTGATAATACCTTATGTCAAACAGAAACCTACAAATGGTTAAATTTTTTTAAAAATTGGAGAACTTCAATGAATGACAAAGAGTTGTCTGATCAACTTTCAACTTCAAGATCAAACATCTGATTGCCCAGGTGAAGAAAATTATCCATGGACTGACTGTATGAGAAGTTGCACAGTCGGTTGGGATATCCATTGGTTCATGTTACATAATTTAGCATAAGGTTTAGGAATGCATCAGGTCTCAGAAAAATTTGTGCCAAGACTCCTGACTGATGATCAGAAACTGCAATGATTTTCCATCTGTGAAAATCTCCTCCAAAGAGCAAATGACAACAAAAATCTTTTGTAAAGTGTCATTACCAGTGATAAGACATGGGTTTACAGTTATGATGGTGAAACCATACAATAGTCCTCACACTGGAAGAGCCTGCTTCACCTTGACCCAAGAAAGCACAGCAGGTATGCTCATGAGTGAAAGAAATGCTGTTTGTTTTTTTTATCATTGAGGCATTGTTCTTTATGAATTCCCTCCTGAAAGTCAGACAACTAATCAAGATTTTTATCAGCTGTTCTCAGACGTCCTTGGGATGTGGTGTGAAGAAAGTGACCTGAAATCTGATAACACACCCGCACACAGTATTGTCAATTAGACAATTTTTGGCAAAACATTCGATTTGTACACTTCCACAACACCCCTGTTCACCTAATCTCTCTCCTCCTGACTTTTTTCTAGTCCCTAAACTCAAAATTATCCTTGAAGAAGATTTCACATGGTGGAAACTATCATCACTAATGCACGAACGACTTGGAAGTGATACTTCAAACATCATTTGAACAGTGCTTCCAAAAGTGGAAAAGGTGGTGGGAGAGGTGCATTGCTGCGTAAGGGGACTCTTTTGAGGGGGATAATAATCAATAAATTAAGCAGAGAAAGTTATTATTTATAGACAAATCTTGGGAGCTGTTTCAACACACCCTGTATGTTGTGATGAAAGGTGGGACGAGAGTGGGGATATGAAAGAACAAGAAGATTTTCAAGAAGCCAGAAATGTTTATGATACTGTAGCAGTTAGCACATTTATATACCATGAATGGAGCAAGCAGGAAATTACATGACTTATATATCAAATGCTTTTGGTAGTCCATTTCCTAAAATTCAAATTAGGAAAACTACAAGTTTTGAAATAGAAAGGATAATAGGGTCTCTTAAAATATGCCATACTCATGGATACGATGAAATTTCTAATAATATATTAACAGCTTGTAAAACTTTCATTAATGCTCCATTAAGTTATCTATGTAACAGAGTTTTGTTTGAAGGTGTATTTCCAGACAGGCTAAAATATGCCACGATTTTACCAGTGTACAAAAGAGGTGACAGGAATATTATTTCTAATTATAGACCTATTTATATTTTGACCTCTTTTAATAAAATATTTTAGAAAGTAATGTATAGTAGATTGATAAAGGGTCTTAAAAACAATAACATTTTAAGTAACCACCAGTTTGGATTTAGAGCGATTCTGGGGACAAATAATGTTATTTTTAGAATAATCTGTGGAATATTGAATTCACTAAATCAAAAAACATTAGTTAGTGGCATTTTTTGTGACTTGGAAAAAGCATTCGATTGTGTTAGTCATGTAGTATTATTGGATAAATTAAAGTATTATGGAATAAATTATAAACTATATAACCTTTATCAAATTGTGAAATATGCAGATGACCTTTTGTTAATGGCTAAGGAAGAAACTGTGCTGCAGGGTATGACTGATAGACTAATCAAAATTGGAAGGTGCTATGGCATGGAAATGAATGTGGAAAAAACAAAAGTAATGAAAATTTCGAGACAACCAACCCCAGTCACAATAAAGATAGACCAAAAACAACTGGAGAATGTGAAATGTTTTAAATATTTGGGTAGCTTGTTAACAGATGATGGAAGGTGTACTAGTGAAATTAAATCCAGGATTGCCATGGCAAAAGCTGCATTTAGCAAGAAGAAGAATCTTTTTACCAGCAAATTGGACTTAAATTTGAGAAAGAAACTAGTGAAATGCTATATTTGGAGCATGGCTTTGTATGGGGCTGAAACCTGGACACTTAGGGCAGTAGATCAGAAACACCTGGAAAGCTTCGAAATGTGATGTTGGAGAAGGATGAAGAAGATCAGTTGGACCGATTATGTGAGAAATGAAGAAGTGTTATTTAGAGTCAGTGAGCAGTGGAATATCCTACACAAAATAAGAAAACGGAAGGCCAGTTGGATTGGTCATATCTTACGCAGTAACTGCCTTCTAAAAGAAGTTATTGAAGGAAAGATAGAGGGGCGGATAGAAGTGACCAGAAGACGAGGAAGACGACGTAAAAAGATGCTGGATGACCTTGGGGACAGAAGAGGATATTCTCATTTGAAGGAGAAAGCTCTAGATCGCATTAAGTGGAGGAACTGTTTTGGAAGAGACTATGGACCTGTCATCTTGATAGATTACTGATGAATGAATGAACAATCTTTATAAGTCTTATTTACAAGGTAGAGTCAGAGAATATTAATTTTAAATGGACTAGACAATAAAAAAGTACTCTCTGAATGGGTTAAAGTAACAAACGGGGTTCCACAAGGTTCAGTGCTGGGACCACTGTTGCTTATAATATTGTCATGTGTGTGGTATGCACACACAAACACGTGACAATATATATAAACGACTTACCTACGATTTTGGAGTCAAGTAGTGTCCCTGTTTTATTTGTTAATGATGCTAGTGTCCTGATTTCACATGCTAATCCTTTACAGTTTACAAATACACTAAATGAAGTTTATGGGATACTTGATGATAGGTATAAAAAGAACTTACTGTCATTAAATACAGTGAAAACACATTGCATCATTTTCACTGCAAAAAACAATATGTTGGTTGAGAGTATTACAGGAAATGGAGGTATATGCACTATGAGCTCTTATGACACTAAATTTCTTGGCTTGACTATTGAGAGCCCCTTGACTTGGGAAAGACATATTGAAGAGGTTATAAATAAATTAAGCTCAGCCTGCTACATAATAAGCATGATGATACTTATGTCTATAAATACCCTGAAAATTATTTATTATTCTTACTTCAATTCAGTCATGACTTATGGCTTGATTCACTGGGGAAACTCGTCACACGCTGACATGGTTTTTAAGATGCAGAAAAGAGTTATGCGACTGATGACGGGTCATGGTTACAGGGAATCGTGTAGAGATCTCTTCAAGGAAATAAATATTCTGCCTTTAAAATCACAGTATATATATTCATTAATGATGTTTGTAACAAAAAACAGATAAATTTGTTACAAATGAAGATTATTGTGAAGTTAAAACCGGACAAAATATTAATTTACATATACACCAGGTTAACTTGGCCATATATGGTAAAGGAGTATATCACATGGCAGTAAACGTTTTTAATGGACTTCCTTATAACCTCAAAGAAATCTCTAAAAATCCAAAAAAGTTTCAAGTTAATTTAAAGGACTTTCTGTATTCAAATTCTTTCTATACAATGGAGGAATTCTTTAAAAGATGGTTGTATTGTATCTGCAAAAATTGAGTATTATTGATTATATTGTTATATTTGGATGATTTTACGCATATGTACATATCTATACTTGATGGAATGTATTTGTAGTTATTGCTTTGCTGCTATTTAATAGGTTTTTATTACTGGAGTACTATTATGTTCATATTACAATGATTTATGAATTGTTTCAGTTATATTGGGTGGTGTGCATGTTTAGGCTTACTTTGTTGTGTACTTGCTGATGTGTATGACTATGTGTACGTTGTACTGCTTTGTTTGTGACTATTTCCACATCCGATGAAATTGTTTTCTGCATGGATTTATGGAAAATGAATGAATGAATTTCCAGGGTGGAAGGATGTGGTAGTCAAGGAGAGACAGGTACAACATGACATAAGAATAATACATAAAATCACTGCATTTTAATGTATTTGTGCAGAAACAACATTACAGTGTGGCCAACTGTGGCAAAACGTTGCAAGACCAAAAATCCAAATATATGTATGGAACACTACAAAGACTGTGATGCATTGCTGCACTCCAGTTATTATAACTCTGATGGTTCAAGGTGTCTGTGGTGCTCCTGCACAAAACAAAATAAGTTATCTGAAAATTCTTGAAGTTCAAGACTGAAAAATAAGACTAGATTCTGTCTCTTTCTTCAGGTAAAACCTACTAAGTTGCGCCCAATTGAGAGAGCTAGCCCCTATCTCTGTTGTGTTTCGAAATATAAACAGGACAGT